TTTTAGCCTTGAAGGATACATGTGGTTTAGATTTGTGAAAATGCCCTTTTTCTTTAGGTTCTCTTGTTGACTTTAAAGGCTTCCTGCAATCACTTTTCAAATTTGCATAAAGAATAATTATTTGCTATATCCGATACATGGGCTAAAATGATGCTGGTTTTCTTTTATCAGGCCTTACTTATTAAGGATGAAAATGGCATCATAATTTAATACAAAATGACATAATTATGAAATCATCTTTGATGGTAACTAGTCTTTTTCTCTAAGAATGTTAGCAAAGAAATCTAAAAATTTTTGCACATGCCAATGATGTTTTTGTGTATATACAATTTTCTGTATGCTTTTTACTTACAAATCAAGGATTATATTATACCTACTATAGTTATTTAAAAAAATAACTAATTACATAAATTAGAAATCTTTTCATATCAACATAGAATTCTTTTTAAACATATCCTTCCTTATAGAGCTTGGGACTCCCAGACTCACTATATGGCAAAAAATGGTATATTGGTTCACAAGGCAACTGAGAAGTTCTATTGAAAATATGTGGGATTATTTTTCCTATTTAATTATTTATTGAGATTATAAGAAAAGGTTTAAATTAATATACATGAAATACAGATACTCACTAGTAGACAGGTTTGAAACGCATTATAATAAACTAAAACCTCACATTATTTTGCATGTTGTGCAAAACTTGATGGAAGCCTGGCTAGCTACAAAGTAAATATACCTTTTGACAAGAAAGCAATATAAAGATGACCATTTAAAAATATCACTTGAAGCTTAAAGACAGTTCTGTCAATAACACTTGGGGCTCCACATTTGTGACTCCTTAACAGTTTCTCTAAGGAATCCTCAGGTAAAAAGTGTGGTTACTTTCAGAGAAGAGCAAGAATAATTTCCCAGTGGCCTAATTATTTCAGAAACCCCAACCCTAAACCCTAGATAGACACAAGACAATAGAAGTAAGTGTAGAAGAAATCACTGGTAGACTTTTTTTCTGTCTCATAATTACTTTAGTGCTCTCCAGAGAAACCCATGTTCTAATTTAAGAGGAAAGGCAGTAGCTGGCTTTTAAACCACAGCCTGAGGTGGCTCTCACATACCATCAAGATTCAATAGAAAATTAAAATCGAGTGTGGACTTACATTTAGAATTTGATGATTTTAGTGAAAAATAAGGCAAGATAATTATTTCAAAATAGATAATATTTGCTTTGGTAAATGCCTGGAAAAAGAAGACAAACGTAACAATGATAATCCAAATGGCACTTGTTTATTAAGGGTCTACTATGTGCCTAACCATCTTAACCATCATGACTACTCTGAAAGAACATCTGATATACAATTTACAGATGAGAAAACAGAAGCATACAGAAATAACTTACTCAGGATCCTACAACTAGTAAATAGCTACACCCAAATCCCTCTTGTTCCAAAGACTGGGCTAATCCATTCAATCAGGATTTGCTACACATATGTTTGGGTTAAATAATAACATGTAAAAAATAGATGTGTTTAAGTGTACGGCCATGATGCCCTGAACAAGCCCGATCCCGTCCGATCTCGGAAGCTAAGCAAAGTCGGGCCTGGTTAGTACTTGGATAGGAGACCACCTAGGAAGACTGGGTGCTGTAGGCATAAAAAATAAAAAATAAAAAATAAGGGATTATAAACTGATAAGGTCCTTGCAATCTGTGAGGTCAACCAAGGGTTGCCTCACCTTAAAAAAAAAAAAATAGAAGTATTTAAAAAGAATTCTATGTTGATATGAAAAGACATACATAATTAGTTACTTTTTATAAAGTAGAGAGGAGTAGGTATAATATAATCTTTGATTTATAAGTAAAAATATACGGAAAAATCACACACACACACATAAACATCACTGGCATGTGCACAAATTCTTTTTGTGGAATTAATTACTGAAAACTCATTTGATGGAGAGTGACTATGAGGAGAAGCTGCTGAAGAGGAAGAATTTCATGTTTCATTGGGTATGTTTCTCAACATTCTAACTTGCTTAACAACATGCACTTATTACTTTTTAAGGATAATAAGTGTTATCTAAGGGGTGATTTTACAAGCCTTTTTAACTACATATCTGAATTTTTAAATAAAACTAATAAGTGTTATATAAAAACATTTTTAAAATTGCATAAAAAGGATGATCCAAATTGTACTTATTAAGTTTCATATATCTTTGTAAATAACTATATAGAAAAGATGTCTGTAATTTGTGAGTTAAGAGTCTTTACCATTATAGCGTTGGTTAAGAGGGCACCCTGTGGAATCAGACTGCCTGTGGGCAAACCTCCTCTGTGCTCTGTGATCTTGGGTCACTTAGTTAATCTCTTTATGCCTCATTTTTTCAGTTACCAAATGGCAATAATAATACCATCACTTTAAAAGCCTATTGTGAGGATTAAATAAGAATACAGGCAAAGGGCTTGGAAGAATATCTACAATCTTGTGAGTGCTCATCCTATATGTATGCAACTATACTTCATCTTCACATTTGCTATATGTTAGTGATTATTATCATTACCATCATCATTACTAGATTAATATTTTCATGTGACTATATTATATGACATAGGTTATATGACATAAACTTAATGTGTTAAGTATTCCTGAACCAATGTAAATGGACTGAGTGAAAGTAAAAATAATGAAATGATAAGAGAGAAATTGAAAATTCTGATCTTACAGTAATATTCTGTACCACAAAGTCAGGAGCTTCATCATTTGTGGGGTTGATTATAATGTAAAATGGCATCTCCAAGGAGCGTCGCTTCCCATCTGTGACATATACCATGAACTGGTCAGCCGTTGGTTCCATCCTTAGATGCCTAGACTGCACATAATTAATGTGCAAGGCCTTCATGTCTTTCCACTGAAACAAAGCTAGAGCACACCAAGATGGAGCAGGTAAATAAGAAAGGCATTTTTTTCCAAGCTGCTACTGGTCCTTAATCCTTAACCCAATAGCCTATTTTTCAGCAAAGCAAATAAGAGATCATGGCAGTTGACCTAAGAATCAGCTATCAGGGGCTGCTACAATGACTGTCAACCATTAACATAAAAACATATCCATAAGGGAGGATTAAAACTTGCATGAAGAAAAGAAGAATGAAAGCAGGTAGCAAGGATGGTAATGGCTTCATGACCTCTCTTCATGTACTTGGAATGAATGTCAGTGAGATCTCTTGATTAAAACCACTTCTGTATGAGCAGTTCTTCCCATGCTTTATTAAGAAAGAGACATCTCTTTCACATAAAGGCAAAACAAGAATCAATCAATTATCTGCTATTTGACGTCCATATCAAGCAACTGGGTTAGACTGAGTGAAATTAGCTGACCTTCCATTTCGGTATTTTGGCACTGCCTTAAATCAAGAGAAAAATGCTCTATGTTGTGCATTAAGTTACAGGAGAAATTGCATAAACTTTAATGCAATTAATCTTTTCCCCCAGCTTTACTGAGAAATAATTGACATATAACATTGTGTAAGTTTAAGGCGATGATTTGATACATGCATATACTGCAAAATGTTTACCGCAGTAAGGTTAGAGAACACATCATTCGCCTCATATAATTATCATTTGTTGCTGCTGTTATGGTGAGAACATTAAAGCTCTACTCTCAAAGAGACTTCAAATATACAATGCAATCTTATTAACTGCAGTCTCCATGCTGTACCTTCAAACTCCAGAAATTATTCATTTTCATAATTATTATTTTCATAATTATTATTTTCATAAGTGAAATTTCCTTTCATTTTGAAGTAAACTCACATGCATGAGAAATTTCATAATAATGAAATTTTAATAATAATTAAAATGAAAATAATAATTAAAATGAAAAACAATAATATTTAAAAGTCTCAGTTATTTAAGAATTCCTTAAATATATACGGTGTTTTGAACATTTTTGATGTTATTACCCAGTTATTAAGTATGATCTGGCCAATAGATCCATAAACACAGGCAAGTTATTGCTTGTCATGAAACCGTGACTTACCTATACTTATGCCCACGTTGCTTTTTTCAAAACCTGCAGAGGGGAGTGTGTTTTCCAGGTAGCCAAACTGGGGAGGAGAAACCAAAACAAACTCCAAGTCATCTGCTGCAGTGTCAGGGTCAGTGGCTGACAAATGGTTAATGGTAAGGGCTGCTGAGAAACCCTCATCTACCACGAACATGGTACCTGCATACAAATAATAACACAATTATGACTTAGCGTGAAATCCTCTAATCGGAATAGTGAGGATAAAGGGAGTGATTGAAATTCCAATTCAGAGAAGCCTCCCATATGCAAATATATTTCCATGAGAGATGTTCATTTCCTTTGACATAATTCCCCTCCTTATGGTGAAAATATTCAGGGGTAATGAGTGGAATTTAATTTGACTTATGGAATTATTTTTTTCTTGTACAAGCAAGCCAGACAATAATGGAAAGACAGCAGAAATAATACTAAATGCTCTAGTACAGCCCTTTAGTCATTCTCAAGGAACTCTGATTTCCCTTGTGTCTCTATAGAAGTGACAAATGAAAATAAGAATTGCCAAACTGATAAACCACTAAATGTAGTTTATGTACTCTTCAAGATCAGTTGTTACCTCTGTTTGTCAGAGCGTTAATTGCCTGCAAGCTATTATGAATTGCTCATAACCAACGTTTTTTTCATGCCTTGGTGTTTAATTATTCTGCAGGGATAACGCTTCCTTTCCAGAACATTGCTTGGGAGATAGTTTGCAAATTTCAATAACATTCGTACATATGTTTATATTTTTTCTCTGAGAGACAGAACATATACATAACGCCCGTGAAGAGATGACTTTCTAAAAAGCAAATAAGGTTAAATGTATATAAATGATCTCCCTGTATACTCATTCTGTTCTAATAGAAATTATTATGAATAAAATAAATTACTTGCTCTTCAGCAGTCAAATAATATTTTCTCATGTGAAATAAAACCAGAATATTTGAGAATTCCAATGCTGTCCTTATCTTAACACACACACACACACACACACAACACACACACACACACACACACACACACTTGCATTTTCCCTCCAAACAGAATTATCTAAAATCTTAAACAAGTAAATTCTTTTGCTTGGCAATCTTTTATAGATTTGAGGTTTTCCACAAATTTGTATTAAGGCAATTATTGGAGACAGTTCCCTATGGTGTTTTCTGTTTTGACTATAAGTAAAGTGCATTATTTCACTTTGCCAAGTGTATGTCACTAGGTGAGATAATAGGATTTAGGAGGAAAAAAAAAAAACACATTGTCACCTATTGCAATTGAAGGTGGTTGGTTGTCCACTGGGTATACTGTGATGTTGAGATCATACATGGGAAAGGACTCATGAAGAGGAACAGATGGATGCGGTCCATTGTAGCAACAGCCATTCACAAAAGGGCCTGCTTCTCCATCCGAAACCACCAATGTAATAGTATCATAACAAGGCACCAGGCCAATCTCACCACCTGGAAGACACAACTATAGCTGAAACCTGAGTTTTTAAAAATATAAAATACCAAGATGAAATCCACTCAAACCTCTCCTACAAGTATACAATGTCAAGAAAAAGAACGTATGTGGTAAAATATAAAACTCAATTTTATCGCTGTGAAAGTAGTCATGAAAATAATACAGAAATGCTTGCCCATCTGTTACCTTTGATGAAACTCCTGCCAGACATCTATCACCATATGGAGGGGCAAAATAGGGGCTAACAAGTGTCTGACAGTTCACAAGTGAACAAGGGAGAGACATGAAACTAGACCAGTGATGGTTTCAATCTTCCCTCATAATTGGTTTGTGTTAGGACCAACCTCAGGGAGAGCAGAAGGCACCCTTGTCCCTTTGGCAACTGTCTGCCCGTTTGCATTAACTACCTTAAATAAACAACTATCAACCACATAGCATTTCCAAGAAACAGAAGAAGCTGGATAGGTGAAACACAAAGATAATCCACATCTTTCTTTGTTTCAGTATTTTCTTCATTATATGATACCCGAGATGTTAACAAAATAGCAACGGCGCCTGGAAAAGAGGTAGCATTTATTTTCATTTTCTTTTCACTCTTTAGGGCTTACATCTATGGGTTTCAAAACGGCCCCAACTTATGCAGTGAGAGGAAGAAGGAAGACTATTGGTGAACAGTAACACACTCTTGGGTTACTAACAGCACAGTGATAGGAGTGCTCACTATCCAGGGGACAAGAAAGTTCTACAGATGTGCTTTTGGTAATTCTCAAGCATAACTTTAAAAGTGTCAAAAGAGAAGAAGTTATGTTTGAAGTTTCAATGAGACTAGGGCAGAAAAGATGAGAGACGTCATCTCTTTTTCACAAGATACATTGGTTACACCTACAGAGTACTATGCTTGTACTTATTCTCCCTGTTTAAAAAAAAAAAGAGAAGAAAAATTGAGAAATGATGTTATTGAGCAACCAAATGATTAAAGGATGATAAACCTAGGTTTTAAGGAAAAATAGAGTTGAAGTTGAGAGAATTAGAATTAAATAATTAGTCATCAATCTTAGAAAAGTAAAAAATAAGAGGCTTCTTGTCTATTCATAAACATAAAAAACAAATTGGCTTAAAGCATGTTTATTATTCATTCAATAATATGTATTTAATATTTAATGCCTACTATGTGACAATTAGTGTTCTGGGTGCTCCAGCTGAGAAAAAGGCAGATGTTTTGAAAATGTCAAGACATTTCGAAAGAACGTCAAATGTCCAAAGAGCCACTGTGTGTCAGGTGCTGACATTGTCTAATTGTAGAGAAAGAAATGCAGTTTGGTTAGAATATCACAGATGTGTGAATTTATTAAGTAAAACCATATGAAATTGCCACTATTGAATTATTACGTTTACCTATTAAATGTAAAATTCATATATCTCCGTACAGGGTGCCGAGGGTGAAAAAGATGAGAATATTGGCTGACACTACTGTGGGGGCAGGGCACGCATGCCAGAGACAGTCAGAAAAGTCTTTCCAGATGGCTTTGCTGGCTTTGTACTAAGCATTAGATAAGGCAGAGAACTGGGAAAGAGGACCTGTAAGGAGAGGGAATCAGGAAGAGAGATGAAAAAATCATTCTAGGAAGAGAAGATAGCTAAAAAAAAAAAATAGTACATTCAGTGACTGTAATTACAATATAATGGAAGCATAGAATACATTTATAGAAAAAGCTGGAAAAGAAGCCTGAGTATGAAGCCACGAAAAAAGGCTACAACACAGGTAGAATTCTCAAAATGGAATGTTGTCTAAGGACAGGATTTAAACTTAAAACTCTAACCATGGTGTTATTGAAAAGAAAAATATCGAATGACTTTATGTTTCATGAGAGAATAGCGAATTGATGGTGTGCTTTTATATCATAAAATATTATTCATTTATTGAAACCTGTGTTTATAACTTTATAACATTTAATACATATTTTAATAAACATTTGTGGGTGATAATCTAAACAAAAAAAGCTAACCCACAAAAACTGCGCATACAATATGAGTGCAAATATGTTAAAAATTACAATTAGAAAAAAGAAAATACTGTAATACTGAAATATTAACAGCGATTATCTTTGAGAGTTAAATAAAATGGTTTTTCAAAACTTTATTATACTTTTCCATATTTTCCTAGCTTTCTGCAATGAGCATATATTATTTTCATAATCATAGAAATCAAATAAAATAATGGTGACAAATCATTCTCTGGTCGTCTTTCTAATCAACAAATGGAGGCAAGAGCAAGCCACTGAAACTTTAGAACTTATAATACTGTGGTTCTTTATACTCATTCTAGCACAGTGCTAAATTAACTATCAGTGGAGTAATTGAGTGAATGTTACAAGAAAACATAACATTCAAAAAAGAAAACATCTTTTGAATACAGCATTTCCCCTAACTTAGTAACAAAGCAAAAAAACAAACAAACAAAACCTTCCATCTGTTTGAAATAATTTGTTCCAATTTCCTACTAGGTCTTATAAAAAATATTAATTAACATTCCCTTATGTGGCCATAACACTAGAAGAGATTTATAAATATGTATACCTGTTGTTAAGTACCTAGAATAAGGCATTGGAAGAGAAGGCAGATTCATCTTCCCCGCTAATCTATCTATACTGCACAAGCCTGCCAAAGATGTTAAAATTACATAACAAACAACAATCATTAGTTTTTGGATCTTTCTGCCAGTCTATTTGAAATCTATTGGGAGGAATCAAAAAAAAAGTACCTAGTTTGAACTCTTGAGAGATACTGAGGGACATCAAGTACCTGAACTATGATCCCCAAGAGAAGAAAATAACCAATGAAAGCTTTTCTAAGACTAAACACAGATAAAAAGATAGATACCATTAAAAAAAAGATGTCTGGAGGAGTGATTGGAATGTGCCAACGTGCCATACTAATTGGCATGAGACAACTGGTATCGTAATAACAAATCGTTGTTTTCCAAAGTACATATAAAAATACTGTTGCAAAATGTTTTCTCCCATTTCCAAATTAATTCTTAGCTATCTCACTCTTTGAGTTTTTTTCCTTCCTCACTGTTTGCATTCTCTCTATAAATCTCTTCAAATAAGAAAATAATGTGAATTCTCATACCTCATTTCCTCTACCACCCACCTGGCACACATACCCAATTACACTTCCTCCATGGAATTTACAGGTTAGAGAGGCATATGGATGAGTAAACATGAAATTATAATAGAGTACAATAAAAGTTAGCTAGAGGAAGTACATGGTGCCACCACTAAGGAAGCGCCTCCAACCCAGAATTCAGAAGATGTACAAGGGATGATGTATAGATGTGTCACGCTGTCACCTTTGCATGTAAATGGGTTTGCCTACCCATTTAAATGAAAAATCCTTTACAGCAGGGTCTGGATTATACTCCTTTGTAGCCCATAATGCCTAGTACTGTGCCTTGTAGATATCAGATGTTGAATTTACATTTTATTTATTTGAACTTTTTACATGGGGAACAGATGCCACTTGAGTAACAATATAATGTGATGCCAAAAATGTAAGCATGATGCTAATAAGAAAGCATTTACTGCATCTCTAATCCATGTCCACCACTGTTATGTGCTGTGGACAAGTTACACAAAGCACAAGACACTATCTTTGCTTTTCAGGAACTTAAAAGGCAGGCCAGTTACTTCTTAGGAGCTAGATGGTGATCAGTAAAATAATAAAATGATTATCTTAGGGAGCTTATTTCAGATATTCCTGTTATAATGTTATGATTTATGGATGCAGAAACTGCCAAAGTCATCATCAAATTGACCAAAATGCAGAGGAGAACAACCAGAGTGAATTGAAGGTCTACAGGGAAGCATCATGAACAGAGTAACAATAACACTTGCTCTTCCTCCACTCTATGAAATTCATTATATTTGAAATCAGAAATACTTCCAAGTATGGTGATCCTACTTGAAAAATGGGGTAGAGGCTACTGTGGCTGTTTCTTTTTTAATGGAAGCAAGCATTGAGACTGTTAGATTATTGGAACCCACAGCAAGGGGTGGGGTTAAGATTCTGTCATATTCCTTGCATCTCCTCACTCAAACTAGTCACAATGCTGTCACTTACCTGTGTGTTTGTATGTCACAATCCCTGAGAGGACATCTCCCTGAGAGAACTGATCCACTGTGACTCCAGCTGTCTTCACTACCCCATGCTGCGGTCCTTGGGCAATAATAAACATCAGTTTCAAGTCATCACTGTCCACGTCAGTAGCACAAATGTATTCAGAGGTGATGACCACCTCATCGCCCTCTGAGCAATGCATCATGGGAATGAGGTCAGCCTTTATGATTGGTGGCTCATCATTCACAGGGAATACCTAAGGAGGAAAAAATTCATGTTTTCAAGAAAAAGAAAGCAATGACAAATTGCCCAACTGGTAATCCATAGCTCATAGCTGGAATGACAAGCATTTTCAATCTTCCAGACATATGAAATAATAGCCATGGAATTTGGCCAAGCAGTCTGTATCTTTTAACTTTCCCCATATGAACCGTCTTGCAAGAAATGACCCACATGAGAGACATTTTAGGTAGGAATGGGAGAGTACAGTTATGGTTTGGGACCCAAATCTCTCGTTTGTTTTTAGACAGACAAAATATAAATGTAATATAAAGCATCCTTCTCCAAAGCCCCTATCCTCCTTCATTAAATTCACACATATTCTAGAGGAAATCTGGTCCTTGTGGTCTGATGCATTTACATTTACCACATCAAAGTTATTTATATTTCAAATTACTTGGTGATTACAAAGCTTCCCTCTACCCTCAACTTCCTGCCACCCAGGAAGTTCATTTGTACTTAAAATAAGCAGCAGCTGCATTTCAAACATTTTGATTTAAATCTGAAACTTCATAACAGTTAAATCAATGCCAGATTTCAATTTGACAAAATGTTTTTCTCTCACTGTCATGAAAATAAAGCTCTAAGTATAAGGCAAAGAAAAGCAACATGGGACCACACTGAATTTGAAATGAAGGTGGAGAAATTTGAAAAATCTTGTCTTCTAAATGGGAATAAAGGACATTCCTCCTCTCAGTTCACAACCGCCACTTGGTGTGTGCTGCAAGTTTATCAAGTCTGGCCTGTGAATACTCTCAACCCTACATCTCCTTCTCCCATGCTTCAACCAATAGAATCTTTTTAAAATGTAGCTTCCATCGAGTCACTACCCTGTGGGAACCTTCAGCGGCTCCCCAGCATGTCTCCTAGGCTGTCTTTAACCTCATCTCATGCTATGGAGTGCCTTTGCCACCTCACTAGATTTTCACCCTCAGACACTGCATTCCTCACACCTCAGGTCTTTGCATCATCTTTGCATCCTCTCTCTGCCTCTTGCCTGGTTTGCTTTGCCCCCACCTCTTTGCTTGGCTATCTCCTCCTTCAGGTTGCGTATGAGTTGCTCAGGGAAAACTTTCTTGAAAACTCAGACTTATTTAGGGACTTCTAATGCTTACTCCCTTTTAGCACCCCGCTTATTTGTCGAACACATCCATATTTTAACTGATTAATTATTTCAGTGATAATCTGTTTAATGTCTGCCTTCATCCCTTGCCTGTAAGCTCTAAAGAACAGGAACTTTATTTGTCTTGTTCATCATGATATCCCAAGCATCTAGCATAAAACCTGGTATATAGAGGATATTTATTAAATATTTATGAAATAAATGAATAAGTGAATGTAACTATGTATGTATGCCCTTCTATTTAAACAGTTGTTAAACTCTACAACAAGTAGAGTTTATTAATTGGACTTGGGTGGTCACTCAACAGATAAACTTGAGGGTTCCCATTAGACCTTCGGGCATGTATTAAAACTTTATTGAGGATTTTTCTTCATTTGTCAAAAGGGGGAAAATAATCATCTCAAACAGACCTTAGGCCAGGGGTATATAGTATAGGAATTCACAAAGCGACATCATGCACATACAGTTATGGCTTCTTCCAAACAACAGGGAGAACTCCAATGACACTAGCCTAACTGACCAGCTGCTAAATTAATACTTCTGAGTCTTACAGCTCAGAAACAAAAGCAGTAATTTATATATGGAACCAATTGCTTTTTAAGCTAAGTGTCTGGATTTGAGGTCAGAGAACTTCAATCTTTAAATGGATTGGAAAGAGAAAAATAACAGTAGCCCATTTCACCAATACAACTTTGTTCTCTATTGCCTGTCCTGAGACATTCAAAGACGTAAGCAAGCGTCCTCTTGCTTTGGAGTTTATGTGTTTCTGTCCGGGACTCTAAGATAAGAGGCTTCCAAATCAGATGCTTTATTTCTATCTGAACCTGGGAGGAAACTTCCTACTCACCTCAATGTGTAGAACAAATTCTACTGAATTTGTGCCATCTGTGACCTCGCAGAGTATGTCATCCTGAAGTGTCTCAGATCCATCGTGCTGATACCTGTGGGAATGACATTTGTCACTAACCTTGTCTCAAGGCCACTATGAGGGTACACTGAGATGCCTGACACAAGAGCTCTTTTATGGCTTTGGCCATATGTTCAATAAGTAAATAACAAAAAACACAGCATAATCATGAAGTTACATATTTAACTATGCAAGGATATCTAAATGTAAAATTGCTCGGCCATGGAAAAATGTTTTATATGCATTTATAATTTATTTCTAAATCAAAAAGCAGCCCTTTAGCTTGCCACTATGACAATGAGAATCAGCTGATTCAGCTGTTTACTTACAGAAAACACTAGCTGAGGAGAGGGGGACACTGCGACTAAGCAGTCGACAGGTAAAAGTGAGACACTGTGGATTCTGATGATTCTCCCTCCTCTCCTACTTTTAAAGCTGATTTTGCTACCTGTGCTCTGGATCTATTTGGTTCTCTAAAATTTTGATCTATGAATTACTTACTTCCTCTCTCTGACCATTTTCCCTTTTTCTATTTACTATCTCTCTTCCTCTCAACTTATAAAAATTCCAGACTTAAAAATATTTTTCCTTGGTCTAGCTTTGGCCTATTTGTTTTAATCCTGAGTTTCTTAAAAGAATTGTCTAATCCTAAATTTTTCATTTACTCTCCAGCCCACTGTAGTGACACATGGTAAGTTCTACAAAGTTGTTGAATTGAGCCTAATTTTTAGCTTATCAATTATCTGTTCAAGATACTCAGAAATGGAAATAAGTGTTAGGAAATGAAATTAGAGGTTGCTTTAGAAGCCAGTCACAAATTATTACATATTGCATAATTGCAATCATATGAAAGGCCCAGAATAGGCAAATCGACAGAGAAAGAAAATAGATTAGTAGGTGCCTAGGGTTGGAAGGGGAAGAAGAATGAGGGATTGCAGTTAAAGGGTAAGGCATTTCTTTGGAGTGGGGGGGGTAACAAAAATATTCCAAAAATTGATTATGTCGAGTTGCCCAACTCTATGATTATACTAATGCTACTAAATTATATACTTTAAATGGGTGAACTAGGTATGCATGGCATGTAAATTACATCTCACAAAGTTGTTTTTTTTTAAATTGCAATAAAAATAGTGCAGTATATCGAATATTTATAACATTTACATATGAAAAAAATTCTAGGGATAAAAGGTATTTTACTCAGGTCTAATCTCACCCATACTCTGGCTAGGGACTCAGGTTTGGGATTCTATTTCAACAGTGGAGAAAGTCCACCTCCTACCCCCCAGTATCCCTCCCATAAACTGCTTCCTATATTTTATTTTGTCATGCTCCCTAACATTTTCATCAAAAGTAGATTGATATGAGATAATATGACAATCCTAGCTTACCATGTTAAAACTCCTAAAGTAGGTCTAGGTGTACATTTTCAAAGGCATGACTGTAGATAGAGTCAAACAGAACTTCTTTCAAAACTAGACTCCTCCATGTACTAGCTGAGTGACCTCACTCTTTGTGCCTTAGTTCCTTCGACTGTAATATGAGAATACAACCATCCACTTTGTTTAGTTTCACTGAAGTGAAGATTAAATGGAAAAAAAAATCATTGCAAGTCTCTAGAACAGCGGTCCCCAAACTTTTTGGCAGCAGGGACTCGTGCTCCTCTGAGAATCTAATGCCTGATGATCTGAGGTGAAGCTGAGCCAGTGATGCTAGCGCTGAGGAGAGCTGAAAATACAGATGATGCTTCACTTGTTTGTCCACTGCTCACCTCCTACTATGCAGCCTGGTTCCTAACAGGCCACAGACAGGTACTGGTTTGTGGTCCAGGGGTTGGGGACTCCTGCCCTAGAAGAACGCTTGAAATACATGTGCTGGCACTTTTATTTTTCTATCCATCATTCATCCCCTAGAAAGAATTACTTAAATGGAGCTTTCTAACATATAAGAAAAAGATCTCAGTGAAAAAAAGAGCTGAGATCTCTGGGGCAAAAAAGGAAACTTTAATGAGGATAAGAGTAGGGAAAAGAGGTCAAGATATTGGAGACTATAAATAATGTAACTAAACTGTCAGATGAAATCGATCTTCCTGGCGCAAATCTCAGTTCCTAGTCAACTTCCAAGTGGGGAATTTAGCATTCAATGCCTATTATCTTTTACTGTACTTCATCAAAAAGGCCAAAATTCCTATTGATAACTTGAACTTGTGAGAAAATAATCAGTAAGTCAGGCTACCTGACCATTGCTTTTGAGTATCTTGCATTGTTTTATAGATAAGGTTTTTTTAATAGATTTTGTAGAAGTTTCTTACAGAACCATGAAAGACTTTGAGGGAAGGGGAACTACCATGGGGCAGAGACTGTTCTCTCTCCAACTGTTACAGAGTCAGCATGCCCTACCGACCCAGCCTTCCCTGCTTGTTTTCCTCCAAAGCCTCTTCCCAGTAGAGTGGAATAAAAATTTATACAAAAGACATTGATCAATGGAATTCTATTCCAGAGTTTCCAGGGTTATGAAAATGGCTTTTCTTAAAGCCAAGTTCAATTATGTAGATTGGTCTTATAGATGATTTCAGTCCCTATTCGTCTAGTTTGACTGTTACCTCTTGTGACAGATGCAGTTTCAGCAAATTTAACATTTATGGTAATAAATTTTTGTTGTTTAAATATCCATAAAGTCATTCCCAGTAGTACAGCAAGTCAGAGAGGAAAAAATGTCTGGAAATTAAAATTTTGTCACTTCTAATATTTGGCTGACCCTTGAAAGTATTAAGTGGCAATGTTTGGTACTTCTGAATGGATTGGACAAATCTTTTTTTCTCTGCCCCATAATTAATCCAGATGAGAGCTAAAGCATGTAAATAAAAAAAGCCAGGAAATGTTCTAACCTAACTTTTAAGGCGTGGAGTTCTCCCCAAGAAAATGTGCCCCCTGCGTTTAGAGGAAATCCATTCAGCTCCAGCCTTCCATGCTGAGGCAGCCTCTGCAGAGCGAGGTAGATGTTGTCCAGTTCCGTATCCACATCAGAAACCAGAACGTGCTCTGTACTGATGATGCAGTGACCCCCCTCGGCCACTCTCAGGGGGTTTGTAAAAACCTAGACAGAAGGAAGAACACATTTAAAGCCTTATTCCCGAGGTATCTCTGAAGAAAGAGCTAATTAAATCATTAGAAAAGTTCCAGCATCATCTTTACATGTCCATTAATTTTTCAAGAATATGGTAAAGAGGACAAGTTCATAGGGGAACAATTCAGCTGAAAAGTATTTTTTCACTAAATATTGACGATTTTAAGCATTGATGTATACAAAGAAGCAAGACAGATCTATAAACCTGAAAGCATCTATATTTCATTTATCCCAGACCCTCTGTAGGAAAAGCAGCAATCAAATTTGTTACTATCAGTGGTACTAAATTCATCATCATGTCCATACCTCCCGTTGCTCGACACACATATACCTTAATTTACATAATGAGTAAAATATATATCGAATTCCCCTAGAGAAAAGAATCCATCTTTTTTTACAACCTAAAAATTCTAAAAGACTTGGGAAATTGATTGAAGCTTTTCAGTGTCAGTTGTATTTTAGAGATGGAAGTAAAGCAGGGAAATTGAAGATTGGAAATTGAAGAGTCTATAGGAAATAAATTTATTCAAACATTGGGCTTAAATATTAAAGCCATAAAGATATTTTTTTATAATAGAACCAACTGCTCAACTGACTAATAATTCATTTGTAAGTAAAAAACAAGTTAGAAAGGTTTGGGATATTTTTACACCACATTGAAAGTTGGCAAAGAAGTGTTCCATTGTCAAATAAGTCTGGAAAACTGACACAGAATATCTTCACCTTAGAGATTTATAAGGCACATAAGCATATTCAATACTCTGAGATCCTGCAGTAGGAAATATGTTAACTTTGTTTAACTTAGCATTTCCTCAAATTTGTATTACTACACAGAAGCAAAGCAAGCAGATACAGTTAGGGGACAAATTTATAGGATCTGAGGGCCCGTCACCAATTACCTGGGCTGGGTGTCCTGCCAATGTGAGGACACAGCATTCTCTAAGGAAGCAGCTACTCTCCTCAGAGCAGCTGCTGCTCCCAGAAAGGAAAACGTTCCCTGAGGAAAGAGTTGATAAAGAGGATGGGACGGGAATGGGCAACAAAAGGGAAATGAGCAAGGAGAAGTTGAAGCCCCTACTCAGAGCCCTGCTCTATCCTCCTGCTCACCAGGGCACTGCTGCCAGGTCATCCATGGATGTCCCAAGAGCAGCCCTCCAGACGGTCAAAATGATGAGACTGACAACTCTAAGACAGCTGCCCTCTAATCTTTAATAAACTACGTCCACCAGCAAAAGAAAACATAAAAGCAAGAGCCTTGTCTCCCTACAACCAACCTCAGCCCCATCCTTCCATCAGTGCCTTACTCTCATTCTGCAAAACCTATGTTTTCAGTTTGTAGGAGAAAAAAAATAAAGGGAGCTCTTATTTAGAGAGGAATATTATCGTTGAAACAAGGTGCATGTCTGCAGCTTCGTGTTTTCCTGAGTTGCATCAATATCTCAAGATGCTAATGTTCCAAGGGATACACTTCACTATATTAGATGATTTTTAAATATAATATATTTAAATATAATACATTTAGAGCAATCTTCAAAAAAACAAAAAAATAAGGCTAATTTGGCCCCACTGACTAATCATTAACTTTTCAGTCTCTGCTCAAACCCAGTGCTTGGATTTCTGGGGCTTCAGGTTAACGTGGTGTCAAGATCCCTAGTGGTTATCATTCAGCCCAGCCATGTGGGGGTATTTGACATCAAGGAACTACTCCTGTGACTGATTTCACTGAAACTACTCATTTAATTTTATTTCTACTATCCTCAGTTCTCTAAGGTACTATTCATTTGTCCCACACAAGGTAGAAAAAAGACAGAAGCTACTATGCCACTTTAGCTCCAAGTCCCCAAAACTACTCCATCTACCGAAGGAGGTAACTGTTCACTTCATCCTTTGTAGTTTTCTCCATGGATCATCTTTCTTTAGCAAGAGACTTGGACTGCTTTGAATAAAAGACTATTTTTCCATGATTGTTTTAGAAGCTTTAGCTTCTTTAGATGCTGGGCTATTTCAGACTGCTATTTCATACATAGAAAAGGGTGGTCTGAATAAAATCTAGTCCAACTAACAAATTTTCTAAACTATGTTCTCTACAGAGAATGTGATAGGAAAATATTCAAAGAATATAGTTTAGATTATTTTATGTGAGTTCTTTGGCACATTTTCTACCAAAAATTGCAAGCTCATAGGCCTGAAGGGTCACGCCGGCAATGTAAATGACTGTGCTGGATTGGATGGGGACTTTGGTAACTGCGGAGTATGCCTTGTCCAACTATTGCCATAGGATTTGTGGGCTGAGTGTTGCCAGTTTCCAAATTTTCCATAGAAGCCAGAAATCCAGATTTGCTATGAAACTCCCTGATGTTGAAGTGTTGGCTACTCATTATTTTAAAATACTGTTTTTTATTATTGTTATTATTTTTGTTTTTGTTATTGTAAGCCCCTTGGTTCCTCAGGGTGAGATCTCTGCCTACAAACTTGGTCAAGGATAGAGATGGTAAGGAGTGAGCAGGAACGGGAACATCAGTGCTTTCCTGGCTATATTCCAAGTGGCTACCTGGGAAGGGAACCTCTTTCCTTAGGGATGAGACTTATGCAGGTTCTAGTCTCCTCAGGTTCCTAATGGGTGGGAAATTATACTCTGTCTTTCACATTTTAGGGGAAAAATGAGCCAAGGAATAGTCACACTAATTAAGTTTAGCACTATGATAGGGAGAAAGTAGGGTATGGAACAAACCCTCAGTATAAACCCCAGCCTCTTAGATGAGACACACAAGGTGGCATTGCATTTGTAGTATGGTTTTAATGAGAGACTCCAGCACTTTAAAGCTTAAACATTGGGGAGTAGGAAAAGGTAGAATGAAAGGGCCCATCTTAATTCATTTTAGAAAATTAAAATCTTTTTTAGATTACACAGTAGCATAGTTGGCCTGTGGCGAGAGCGAATAAGCCCTTCTGGTGCTAAGAGACCCATAATTTAATCCCCTTCCCCTATCAACACATGAAACTCAGTAGAAAGGAAAGAATATAAAAGAGATTTTGATAAAGCTTTGAAAATAATGCCAGATTTAGCAACTGGAAAATCTCTCCTTTTAGACAGAAAGTCCCATGGGAGGTGAGGGACTCCCCTCCCCATGTTTTTGTTTTTTGTTTTTGTTTTTCCCCCGTTAGCTGAGATGAATGGGCCTGCGTTTTCTTTTTTCTTCCTTTGCCTCTTCTTTAGTGCTATGTTGTCTCACACCCCTTTTTTTGCTTTCCTTAGGCCCTCCCTTTTTCTCATCCTTCATATTAAACCTTTTACATACCTCAGGAACTTGGTTGTCCACTGGAAGAACTGTGATGTTAAAGCAGATCCCATGCAAAGTGCCACCATGCTGGTTACTGATGGAAAACATGAACTGCACGTGTCGTAGACGGGGGCCGATATCATGCACAGGTGGCATGTAGGCCACTTTCATATAGTTCACAGCATCCTGCAAAGCAAATTGAGATGGGCACGTGGGTTCTGATTTGCAAGGATCAGAGTCTTTCAGAGATCTAGGTCCAAGAGAACTGTCATGATAAATGATACCGAACATTTTAAATGTCACCATCAATTAGAAGATTCCAAAGAGATCTTCTGTAAGTCATATTTTCTAAAAATCAGGAGAGAAAAGGACAAAGAAATTAACTAAACACATCAAGTGCTTGTAGCCAGCCAACACTGTAAGACAAAGGACTTGAATTTTATTTAACCCATAAGTAGAGCTCATGTGTAAGTTCTACTACTTTAAGTAGCTGTGGGATATTGGTCAAGCTACTTAAACCTGCTAGCCCTCTTTTTCCTTATCTGAAAATGAATACAATCATAAATAAATAAAATCATACCAGATGGGATTGACATATTCATTTACAACTTCTAACTACAGTGAAACTAAGTATAATTAGCTCCAAACAATGGCTGCTGTCTAAGCACTCATCACTATTATTGTGACCCCTCTTAGGTCTTTGGAGTAGAGTTCACAAGAGTAGGGAGAGGGCTGGTAATAATTTTGGGAGGTAGAAGATGTTATGGGTTGAATTGTGTCCCTCTAAAAAGCTATGTTGAAGTCCTAACCCCCAGTACCTCAGAATGTGACTTTATTTGGGATAATGTTGTTGCAGATATAATTAGATCATAGTGGAAAAGGGTGAGCCTTTAATCTAATATAACTGGTAACCTTATAATAAGAGAAACGAACAGGAAGAAGATGGCCATAGGATGACAGAGGCAGAGGTTTGGGTGATACATCAACAAACCAAGGAATAACAAAGATTGCCAGCAAACCACCACAAGCTAGGAAGAGGCAAGGCAGGATCCCCTTACACGGTTTCAGAAAGAGTATGACCCTGCCAACACCTTAATTTCAGTTGTTTTGCCTCTAGAACTATGAGACAATAAATCTCAGTTGTTTTGAGCCACCCAGTTTGTAGTAATTTACTGTGGCAATTCTAGCACACTAATAATAGTAGGATATTAGATAAACAGAATTTGGTGGAATAAAAACATATGTGCTAGTTCCCTAAATCACAGCCCTGCTGCTGGCAAAACAATGCAAAAGTCTGTGTTGAATTACAAGATTTTGAAATCATATTCAGCTTGATCAAGCTTTGTCAAATAGATGTCACATGCTTAATGCAAACGTACAAGCTGAAAGAATAAAGACATCAAGCATTTGTAACAGATGTCAAAAGCCAGCATTCTCAAGGAGCACCACGACTTCTCAGAGGGCACTTCTTTCATGCTTTTCAACATTTTAGCCCAGCGTCCTACCTGAGTGAATGACTTCAGGCCTGGGGCTGCAGGATTTCTGGTTAACTGTGGTATGCTGTCCACCATGAATAATTTCCCAGCATCCAAGTGTCTAAAGAGAAATATAAGAAAACACATCAGCTCATTTTCCAGGTAACACAAAACAAGTCAAATAACCTGAAACCAATTTTTTTAAACTAAAAGAGTTCATCGTGGGAAGAAAAATGTTCCATCTTTATATTCTCTCTCCATGTTGCGGGGGTTCCAGCCTTAAGTCCAATCTCATCAATGCCATTCTAACCATACTACAAAAAGCATATACAATATTTTCTGCTTTGACATCATGAAAAAGAATCATTATTCTCATTCTTATAATGCTTCCTCATTATAACATACTTGATATGAGCCTAAAGTATAGTCATGCCGGTTTTCTGGATTGGAATCATATAATATGACCATTTCATGTCCTACAATCCCTAAAAAATAGTGTTATAAAGACTCAATAAATTTTACTAAATGAAAAAAGAAGCATTATCTTTAGGAAAAATGATTAAAAACTGTTTTAAGCTTACCTAAGCTGAAGACACTATAAGATGTAAGTCACCGATTAAGACAGCTTTTATAAGTTTGAGATATAGTAAATGCTGAATTAAATTTAAGTTCACGTCTGACCAACAAAGCAATTGAACCATAGCACTATATATTGACACTTTTGACTCTGCAGTCCTAGAATACAACACTACACTAAAATGACATGATAAATTTTCATAGAGATACCTGTGGCTAAAGGAGAAAAATGGAGGAGTTGTTATTGTATAGAGCAGCTCCCTGTCATATGATTCCGTATCTATAAAATGTAGATGTTTCTTAGTTATGTAAGCCACCTCGGTTTCCTTAACAACCAAATTCCGAGATACTCCAGGTGCCTCTTTTGGAAGCTGGTCATTCACTGGAGTGATATGAATTGTCACCACCTGGAAAGAAATTATCTGTACCATTAATTTGAAATACCAAAAAGACACCAAAGAAAACACCCCCCAAATCACTTAGTCACAGTAATTTTTGATGATTTTTCAAAAACTGTTGATTATAATATATTTCCATTGAAATGATTCAGGAGCTATTAAGAATGTGAGCCAAAAAATGGAACATTCCCCATCTATTTTATATTTTAAGAATGTAATTATCACAGTTATGGTTAACACAGTTGTGAGTGCTTTAAAATTGGTATTTCTACATCTCTCCTCCACCAATAATCTATGCTTTCTCTACGTTCCTCTACTCAGTCATTGATTCTAGAAATCTTGACATAACTTTTGGTTCCTCCTTCTGCAGCCATATATAACACACCTCCGAGTTTCTAATTTTAAAATTCCTATACAGTGACCACACTTCACTCCCACCCCAGCTGTCATTCCTCTTGTTAGTGGCCTAACTCCAGCTCTTATAATTTCTTCCTTACATTATTGCAACAGCTTTCTGTTAGCCCTAACTTCAATAGTTGATTGAGACTTATGTACCCCTAATTCTATCTCTTTAAAAAATATAAATCAAATCAGGTTATTCACCTCCTGAAAAATTTTAAAAAACCACCCAGAAAGGATAAAATCGTTCTTTAGCATGGCATCTAAGACTCTGTACAGTTCGTTTTGGGTTTTGGTTTTTGTAGTGATTTTTTTTTTTTTTTTTTTTGGCCAATATTATGGGTTTAAAAAAAATTTTTTTGCATATTTATTGTGATAAAATATAGACATTCTGTTTTTCAACTTTAACTTTTACTCCTTTCAACATTAATCCCACACTCTAGTTGCACAGAAGGTACTAGATCCTAGTCCTCAAGCGTGCCTCTCTGCTCTGGATTATGCTTCCCGCCCCCCGGCTTTATTGAAATATAACAGACAATTAGTTGATTATATTTATGTTATACAATTCAATGAGTTTGTTTTTCAGTTATAGTTGGCATACAATGATATACCAGTTTCAGTTGTACAGCCTAGTGATCAGAGATCCACATAACTCACAAAGCGATCACCGCACTAAATCTACTACCCTTCTTCCCCCTTAAATATTTATTACATTATTAACCAATCTGGAATGCTTCTCTCTGGCTTTCTCCAGCAACCTGAGTTTTTCTTAGCCTTGAAGGCTCTTCTTAAAACTTCGTCCGATTTCTCAGCTAAAATTCCATTGTTCCTGGAGTTTGCTTATCCTTGACAAACATTATTATGTTATTGTCTTGTATTATTAGTTAGTAGTTTTCATGTCAGTTTCTTCTAGACTGAAAGTTCCACAGTACAGTGCAAACTACACAGAATTTGGTGGTGAACAGACCATTAAAGTTCTGAGTATACCACTTAATAGTTACGGATCTTGAACAAGTCACTCGACTTTTTTAAATGTTGATTTTCTTGTATGTAATTTAAGCATAACACCGACAACCTCACAGAGTTTTTATGAGGATCAATTATCGCTATGTACATAAAATGTCTGGCGCATACTAAGTGCTCACTAGAAATTACATTCGTCTCTGTAGATCTACAACATCCGGCATGGTAGGTAGGAAGCACTTCATCAGTGTTCACTAACTGAATGAGTTGACATGCCCTGTTTGTAATTTTAAGAATTCTTAAAACCACAGTCACAGGTCTAGATCCTGCTTGAAGGCAGGGACGCTTTGCCAAACAACTTTTGTCATCATATTTTCTTACAATAATCCATGACTGGTTGTGAGAACGCAATTACTTTCACTCCTGTAATGGTACGTTTGCTTGCCATCTTGGTATTCTTACCCTGGTTTTGACTTATTCTAATAAATTTAATATTTTAATTATTCTGTTTTAATTTATTTTAATAAATTTAATATGGTCACTGAAGCACAAGCACAGATCAGCAATGCTAATTTTATCTACCAAACAGTGCTCACAATACCCAATTTGAAAATGAAGAGAATTCCTTTTTAAATGGACATACAAAGCAAAAATAAAATATAGTTAAGCTTTTACCATGACACAGAAAATACTGGAACATCAGCTTGACCACCTACAAACTGTGCTCCCTGGGGCAAATTACTGAACCCCTCTGAGATCAGTTTTTCTCTCCGTACATTGGGAATAATAACAATGGCTATTACAGTGAAGTGTTGTCAGGATCATATGAGACAGCTGGTAGCACAGTGAGTACTTGGTAGTGGGTGTTCAATAAATTAATTCCCTGTCTCCATCCTTCATTACTTTTACAAAAGTATACAGCAATTTTGCTGCCCCATTATGAAGTATTTCAATAATTAAAAACTAAAGCCAGATATCAAAATAAAGGAACACAATGACAGTCATTTCTCCAGTCTCCTGGAGTCTGTGTCACAATTTTTTTCCCAATTATAGTTTTTTGCTAATCTACAAAGTTAAGAAATTCTCTCTGGGACCTCCCAGCCATAGCGTGAATTAGTGAGGCTCCACTTAATTGAAAAACTGGATTTAATAAGGAAACAATAGTTATTGTGCCTTCAAAGAGACCATTTTCCATGCTAATTTATCCTCCAATGTGTTCTTTGTATAAAAAGAATGTACAAGCATGCTTTTTTATACCCCTGTAGTAATTCTTGGTGGGCACATTTTTCAACATGCTTTATTAGTACCTAAGTTGATATGTCTTTACATATTTATGTATATTTAAACAATTACTGTGTGTGTATATCTGTGGATGTGAAAAATCCTATTTGAACAAACTCCGTAGAGAAATAAAGTGTTTTCATTTTACTAAAATTTGGTTGTAACAAAGACATTATGAAATACCCATTCGCAGACAGTGGAAAACCAGTGCCCAGACCAGTTGCCCAGCTCTTGCTTGCTGGCTTCCCCTACATGCCTCCAGTCTGCTTATGGCTACAAGCACCCACAAGACAGACATGTAGGGAATCAGATTTTAAGTGCTAAATCGGTATACAAAATGACAAAGCCTAATCTTGATCCTCAGAATCACATTCATAATATGATGTTCCACCAGCTGACATCAGACTTTCTTGTGGATTTGAGTTCCTGATCCTTTTTCTTCCCTGAACTTTGACTCCTGCCTGATTCTCTCTCTTACATTATCCTTTGAGATCACCCAGTATTATTTCTCAGCTAAAGATATACTTCCAATGCTAGTTTTGTCCACCCCACTTTCTAGTCTGACTTCTGATAAATGCTCACACGCTTGGTGCCTGTTCCTTTATTGGGTCACATTCCATGTTCCCTTCCACTTCACCCACAGGCCTTTGTGGCATCTGCTTCCTTTCTTACTCTGTCACTTAGTCTTCTTTCTGCTTCTTCTACCCTTATTATGAGCACTCCGTTTTACTTCTAATGTTGCTCTCTATTGGTTTAAGGTCTCCTGAGGCTTAAGCTCTATGAAGGCCTCTCTTGAGAAGGATAAAGAGGAAAATATTTTTCAAAAACAAATTAAGTGGGTGAGGCTTTATTTGATGACATTAATGACAACCAAGATAGAAAGAGGGAGGAAGTTTCTTGCTGATGCCTTGTTGATGTGCAGGTAGATCTTCCAGTA